ACTATCTTGAACAGTGCTGCAATGAACATGGGTGTGCATATATCTATTTGTGTGATGGCCCTTATTTCTCTAGGATGTATTTCAAGGAGTAGGATTGCTGGATTGTATGGTACTTCTATTTCTAGCTTTTTACGGACGAGCCAAATTGATTTCCAAAGTGGTTGTACCATTTTACATTCCCACTGGCAGTGCATAAGTGTTCTAGTCTCTCCACGACCTCTCCAACATTTATTATTTTGTGTTCTTTGGATTAATGCTAGTCTTGTTGGGGTGAGATGGTATCTCATTGTAGTTTTGATTTGTGTTTCTCTAATGGCTAATGATCATGAGCATTTTCTCAAGTGTCTGTTAGCTGCCTGAGTATCTTCTTTGGTGAAGTGCTTGTTCATATCCTTTGCCTATTTTTTAATTGGGTTATTTGTCTTTTTGTTGTTGAGGTTTTGCAGTATCTTGTAGATTTTGGAGACTAGACACTGATCGGATTTGTCATAGCCAAAATTTTTTTCCCAGTCTGTAGGTTGTCTTTTAATCTTTTGGTGAAGTCTTTGATGAACATAAGTGTTTCATTTTTGGGATCTCCCAGTTATCTAGTTTCTCTTCTGGCATTTGTGCATTGTTAGTAATGGTTTGTATTCTGTTTATGCCATGTATTAGGGGTCCTAGCATTGTCCCTATTTTTTATTCCATGATCTTTATAATTTTAGATTTTATATTTAGGTCTTTGATCCATTTCGAGTTAGGTTTTGTGCATGGTGTGAAATATGGGTCCTGTTTCATTTTTTTACTAATGAATATGCAGTTATGCCAGCACCATTTGTTAAAGAGACTGTCTTTTCCCCAATTAATGGACTTTGGGCCTTTGTCAAATATCATCTGCTCATAGGTGGATGAATTTACGTCTGGATTCTCAATTCTGTTCCATTGGTCTATGTATCTGTTGTTGTACCAGTACCAGGCTGTTTTGACTATCGTGGTGGTATAATTGGTTCTAAAATCAAGTAATGTGAGGCCTCCCAATTTGTTCTTCTTCTTCAGTAATGCTTTACTTATCCAGGGCCTCTTTCCTTTCCATATGAAGTTGGTGGTTTGTTTCTCCATCTCATTAAAAAATGCCATTGGAATTTGGATCTGGATTGCATTGTATCTGTAGATCACTTTAGGTAGAATTGACATTTTCACAATGTTTAGTCTTCCTATCCATGACCAAGGTATGTTTTCCCACTTATGCAGATCTCTTTTGGTTTCTTGCTGTAGTGTCTTGTAGTTTTCATTGTATAGGTCTTTAACGTCTCTGGTTAGATTTATTCCTAAGTATTTTATCTTCTTGGGAGCTACTGCAAATGGTATTGATTTGGTGATTTATTCTTCGAAGTTCTCTTTGTTGGTGCAGAAGAATCCAACTGATTTTTGTGTGTTTATCTTGTATCCTGATATTTTGCTGAAATCTGCTATTAGTTCTAGTAGATTTCTTGTGGATTCTTTGAGGTTTTCTGTGTGTAAGATCATATCATCTTCAAATAGAGATACTTTTACTTCTTCCTTACCAATTTGGATGCCCTTTATTTCTTTTTCTAGCCTAATTGCTCTGGCTAGGACCTCCAGCACAGTGTTGATTAAGAGTGGTGATAAAGGGCATCCTTGTCTGGTTCCCGTTCTCAAGGGAAGTGCTTTCAGACTCTTTCCATTTAGGATGATGTTGGCTGTTGGCTTTGTATAAATGGGATAAAGGCAATTTCTAACACACATGGCCACCCCAATAACCAAGTGAATTTAGGATGAACTATATAGTATCTCGATGAGTCAGAATCAACTTGATGGCAATGGGGTTGGAGAAGTAGCAAATGATGTTGTTAAGTCTTCTTACTTGAGAAGAAGTACTCTTTTATCTTGAGAACATGTTTGTGAAGGGTCCTATCTGACTGGCTATATCCGAAAACTAAACCAAACCTGTTTCCATGGAGTCGATTCCAACTCACAGCAACCCTACAGGACAGGATAGAACTGCCCCCATAAGATTTCCAAGGAGCGGCTGGTGGATTTGAACTGCCGACCTTTTGGTTAGCAGCGAGCTCTTAACCACTTCCCCACCAGGGTGACTGGTTATATAAAAGGGGTTATTTCTGTCTTTGCAAACTTATTTATGGATTGCCTGTGACGTGCATCACACTTTGGTGTAATGCTTATTGGATGATAACATTGTTTCATTCTTTTCTACATTTCTGGAGAGGATTTTCTGGGTTGGCTAGAGAATTTTTAATTATTTCCCTAACTCCTCCCATCCAGAAATACGGTGCGTGTATATACGAGTATATATATATATATAAAATATATGGACTCTTCAGATTTAAAATTTGATTTTATTATGAAAAATTAAACAGTTTTGTAACTATTTTAAATTCATTTGTATTGTTGGCACAAGAGTGAATTAATGTCATAAAGTTACTAACCGGGAAAGAGAATCAGTATATATTCCTTTTTCAAATGATAGTCACAACATTTTATACCACGATAAAATGTGTGTAAAAATTTCAGAAGTGTACACCCAACATCAAGCTTTTTTCTTTTGAGAAGTGTTATGTCTGGCACTTATGTTCTTTTTTCAGCTTATACATATTTTCTATTTTACTATATGTTTCATATATCATTTGCACAATTCTGAAAGCTAGCATTCCTAAGATGAAGTGAGCTGTTGAGGGTATTATTCTTTGACTGCACTACTGGACTTTGTTCCAAGTACATTAGTTAAATTTCCCATCACTATTCATCTCACCAGTTCATGGTGGCTGTCTTCAAGTCCCTGGGTTGTGGGCAGTGGGGGTTCTATTAAATATCATTGTGGGTAATTAAAAGACCAGGCTTCCAGGAAACCCCAGCAGCAATGACTCAAGTACCTAGAGGCCCCCAACCTCCCCTCACTCCACCAAACTCGATGACATCATCCGAACTGATGTCTGTCATGGGCTGAGTTGTGTCCCCCCAAAAATGTGTGTGTCAACTTGGCTAGATCATGATTCCTGGTATCATATGATTGTGTAATCTGATATGATTTCCTTAGGTGTTGTAAACTCTATCACTATGATGAGGTTATACTGATGACATCTATAAGACTGGATAATGTCTTAAGCCAATCTTTTTTGAGATATAAAAGAGAAGTGAGCAGAGACACGGGAACCTCGTATCACCAAGAAAGCAGTGCTGGGAGCAGAGTGCGTCCTATGGACCTGAGGTTCCTGCGCAGAGAAGCTCCCAGACCAAGGAAAGATTGATGACACAGACCTTCCTCCACAGCCAGGGTGGATGCAGACGTGAGGCCCGAGGGCTGAGAGACCACAGAAAGCAGAAGCTGAAGAGACAAGGAACAGGAGAAGCCGAGCTGCCTCAGTCTCAAAAGATATGGCCAGGACCTCTGGGGTTTCAAAGAGTGGAGCCATGGCCTCTTGTGTTTCTAAGGCTGGAGCTGTCACTCTGACGGACAAGGAGAATGGTGCACCTAAAGCCAAGGGAGCAGAGTTGCCGTCCCAGTGGGCCTGGAAGGCGGAGCTGAAGCCCAGGGCCAAGAGGCCTCCCCTCAGAATCCGGAGACTGTGGCCAATACCTAGATTCTGGAGGGAAGGGCTACTGTGTAAATGGTCTCAGAAAACAGATTATTTTCAAAGCCTTGAGGGCTAACGTAATGTGTTCTGCTGACTTGCTTGGTGCCTGTTATCCCTTCTTCTCCTCCAGTTTCTCCCATTTGTAATGGAAACGTCTAGCTTGTGCCTGTTCTGCCGTTGTACCTTTGGAAGCAGATAACTTGTATTCTAGATTTCACAAATGAAGAGGACTTTTTGGATTTTGGACTTGAAGTTAAGACTTTTTCTGTGATATGATGAGAGGAATACGTTTTGCATGTTGCAAGGATGTGATTTTGGGGGGGGGGGGCAAAGGGTGGAATGTTATGGATTGAATTGTGTTCCCCCAAAAATGTGCATATCAGCTTGGCTAGGTCATGATTCCCAGTATCATATGATTGTGTAATCTGATATGATTTCCTTAGGTGTTATAAACTCTATCACTATGATGAGGTTATACTGATGACATCTATAAGACTGGATAGTGTCTTAAGCCAATCTTTTTTGAGATATAAAAGAGAAAAGTGAGCAGAGACATAGGGGAACCTCATATCACCAAGAAAGCAGTGCTGGGAGCAGAGGGCGCCCTATGGACCTGAGGTTCCTGCGCAGAGAAGCTCCAGACAAGGGAAGATTGATAACACAGACCTTCCTCCAGAACTGACAGAAAAAGTGTTTCCCTGGAGCTGACGCCCTGAATTTGGACTTGTAGCCTACTGGACTGTGAGAGAATAAATTTCTCTTTGTTGAAGTCATCCACTTGTGGTATCTCTGTTATAGCAGCAATAGATGACTAAAACAGCGTCACACCCTAGGCTTATGGAAAACGTAGTTCCGCAGTGGGCGGAGGAGCATTCTGCGCATGTGCAGTCCCACCTCCTTTCAGTAGTCGCCATTTTTTCGCTCTCGTCCCAGGACGGGGAGGTCGCTGGACGCTCCTGGTTTCCGTGGTGCGACGGAGGGCGGGGCCAGGACTCTGCGCGGGCTGGGAGCTGAGGCGGAGCCCAAGGCCGGGCCTCTGCAGGTGTGGCCAAGCCCCGCAGGTGTGTCAAAGGTTGCGCTGCGGGCGTGAGGCCTGGGGCTGAGGAGAACGGGGTCTTCGCGTTTGGGCGGAGTCAGAGGCCCGGCAATCCCCGCCTGCTCTCCGGGCGCCCGGATGTTCCACGGAGGAGGGCGCGGGAGGGGAGTTGGAGAGGGGACGGCTTAGGAGGAGCGGGGGAAAGTTGGGGGCCTGGGAGGGGTTGGAGCGAGGAGGCCGGCTGTCCGCGTACCAGTTCCTTCCTCTTCGGAAGCTGTGTTTTGCGACCAGCGTGAGAGGCGGCCGAGGGAGGCTTGAGGGCACGGGGGGAAAAGCGGGGCCGGACAAGCGCAGGGAGACGACCTTCGTGACGTGAATCCGTGATCCGCCACGTAAGGGCCTGCGTGTCTGCGGTGCTGGCTTGTTGAGACGGGGCTTTTTAAAATCTGAGAGACCTGGGCTCACATCCAGCGTCTGCCAGGAAGCGGGCAGGATAATCTAGGGGCGACTCGGATACGCACCTGTAAAATGAGGCTATTATTAACCTGTTGTTGTTAGGTGCCATGCAGTCTGCTTCTGACTCACAGCGACCCTGTGTACAACAGAAGGAAAACACTGCCCGCTCCTGCGCCGTCCTCACAATCGTTGCTGTTTTGAGCCCGGCTTTCCAGCCACTGTCATCATATAGTATAACCTCTAGCGTCGTTTTCTGTGTTAAATAGGATAGTTTATACAAAGTATGACAAAGACTAAATAAAGGCGAGCTGCTTTTATTATTACAAGGCATGCTGTTCTTTTCGTTTTTGAATCATTTAATCATAGAACCGCCCTTCTCATCGGTATTACCATCTTCATTTTAATAAAAAGGTTCAGAGAAAGATTGACTTACCTGGTATTCCAGTTAGTAGGAGCCCTGGCGCAATGGTTAAGTGCTCAAGTGCTAGGCTGCAAACTGACAGCTTGGCGGTTGGAACTCACTAGCGCCTGGGGGTGGGGTGGGTGGAGAAAGACCTAGCCCTCTGCTCCCATAAAGACTACAGCCTAGGAAACCTTATGGGGCAGTTCTATCTTTCATATAGTGTCACTGAGTGAGAATTGACTCGAGGGCACACAGTAACAACAATAGAATAGGTTAATGAGTTGGGATTTAAATTCTCATTGGTTTGTAGTTCCTGCTCTTACCTACACTAAAATTTACAGTCTTAGGTTGTTATTCAGCACAGTAGTTGTCCCTGAACACCACTAGAACATAACTGAGGAATGTAATGGACCTAATCCTACCATGTAGCCATTCTATTTCCAGATATTCTTGGGGAATCCTCAGAATCCTTGGGTCAAAAGGCTAAGTATGCCCTTCCTGATCCTTCAGCATGTCTTCTCAGAGGACTGTTAAGGAGAACATGTAAATTGAAACCTAAATTTGAGGCCTCAATTTTAAATTTTACTGGAGAAACTGGGAATTCTTTTCAGGCCAGAGATTAGATTAGAGAGGGTATGGAACAGACTTTTAGAAAACTACAATTCATCTAATACTTCATATTTTGCAAGTGATAGAATGTCTCTGGTGATAACTGAGCTTATTGATTAGGCATCGGTTAAGTGCTAGGCCAGCTGGAATTGGTTTCTGCTGCATATGAGAAGAACCTCAGGATTATGGCATCTAGTTGCCTTTGCTACGTGTATGAAGTGTCTGATTCGGGATTATGGTGCTCAGTTGTTATTTTAGTAGATACTAGGTTTGTGCCAATGTCAGCAGACTAGATGGTCGTGTCAGAGTTCATCAAGGCCTAATTAAATTTTACATTAAGCTTATCTCAAGATTCAAGGGGACAGTGAATTCCAGGGCACTGTCTTGGATTTGTGGCTCTAGGTGAATGCTTATAGAATCAAAATGGTACATGAAGTGGTGTTTAAGATTATCATATTCTGCCTTGTTTTAAAGATAATAAACTTGAAGCTAAGACAGTAACTAGGTTTGTTAGTAGCAGAGCCTAGGGTAGTGCCGAAGTCTTCAGGTCCACTATATCATATTTAAGTCAAAACGATGTTCTTAGAAAAATGATTTTGAGAAGGAGAAGAAATATCTCATTTTTGAGAGCTTCCAAAGGACTTTTCTTACCTTGTGGAGTTTATCATGTTCATAGGAAAAATTGTTATGATGTAATTTAAACACCTTTCCATATCAATAAATATTCTCTTAACATCATTTGTAATGCTGGCATAGGATTCCATCCTTTGGATATATTAAACACCTTGCTTAACTAATCTGTTGTTATTGGATGTTTAAGTTTTCAGTTTTTTTGTGTGTTACTCAGTAAATGGACACATGATTTTCAAAACAGCCAATAGGAAAGAAATGTTGCCTCATTCAATAAAAATGTCCTAGGTTCATTAAGGCTATATCAGAGTCACCAATGGACAGGTGGGTACTCCATCATGGTCCTTCCTGTTCCTTTTGATGAGTCAAAGGGACATTTTCCCAGAGGAAATCTTTCACTGAAATGTATGGAAATTTCTCACAGGTGACTCCTGGAGGTGGAAGATAAGATCTTTTATGACTTCTGCCTTCCAACTTCCCCTGCTCTGGCTTCATAGTTTCTAGCCTTTTCCAAGAGCAGCAGAAAAATGAACAAATTTCAGGTAAGTAATTTATTTAACTCTTACTGTTTCATTGTGTGTTTAATGAGTTTTATAAAAGAGAGCCCATATATTAAACTAGAAAGTGGAAATAGTTAAAAATCACTGTCAGGGAAAATATTGTAAGGATAGCACAGTACTCAAAGTATGGTCTGCAGATCTTTGGGAGTCCTGAAGCCCTTTCAGGAGGTCTGTGAGATCAAAATGATTTTTGTAATTCTAAGGTGGTAATAAGGAGCCCTTGTGGCACAACAGTTAAACACTCAGCTGCTAACTGAAAGAATGGCAGTTTGAACCCATCCAGCAGCTTCGTGGGAGGGAGACCTGGGAATATGCTCCTGTAAAAGATGTCAACCTAGAAAACCCTATGAGGCAGTTCTACTCTGTCACATGGGGTTGCTATGAGTCGAAATCAACTCCACGGCATGTAACAACAACAAGATGATAATTGCCTTTTACACTGTTAACATTTGCACTGATGGTACAAAAGCAACGGTGAATAGATTGCTGTTTGGCTGAATCAAGATAGTAACACTAACCTGTACTTACAGTCATTTTATTCCTCCGCAATGTAGTCACACTAAAAAATTGTCAGTTTTCACTTAACGATGTCCTTGATGAAGCAGTAAAATTATTAATTTTATTGAACTTTCGTTTATTACGTCTTTTTAATATTCAGTGTGATGCAATGAGAAGTTCACCTAACGCACTTCTGCTGTATTCTCAAGTATGATGATGATTGTCTTGAGGAAAAGCACTTGTACGATTGATTTGTGAGCTGACCTCGCCATTTTTTCATGGGATCCCCTTTTTATGTGAAAGTAACTGGGAAACACTATGGCTATAAAACCAAAAAACCAAACCCACTGCCATCCAGTCAATTTTGACTCACAATGACCCTATAAGACAGAGTAGAGCTGCCTCATAGCCCGTTTCCACCATTTTCTCAAAAATGAAGTGATCCTGTCACTTCAAGGAAAACAGCTGTCTGTGTTTGTTGCCAGTGTTAAAATTTGAGCTTTCAAGTGAATATTAGAATTTTGGAAATCTTGAATCCTCCATTGTGAGTTTGACAACTTCCTAATAGTTAAAAACTTTTCTGCTGAGATTAGTGATAATATTAGCTAATTACTTTTTTTTTATTGTATAGTAAAGTGTGTCAACATTTGTGTTATATTTCTAATGTATATACTCAGAGGCAAACTCAAGTAGTTTAAGAGGACGGAGTGACACAGAGTAGTAGGGAATGGGGAATAAGTTGGTTACAGAATATAACCGTAAAACGTAATACAGGTAGTCCCTGACTCAGGACGAGTTACCGCGACCCACACTTACGACCATCCATCTTATCTTTAGTAATATGTACTACATACCGTAATTTGCTGATGTTGTCATATCTGTAAGTTTATATGTAATGTTTTCAGCTCCTAAAGACAAATAAGGATAGGGTTTATAAAGTTACTGATAATAAAAAGTAATAATAGTGAAAACTAACAAAAAAAAATGAGGTATTCGACTTATGTCAGAACCGACTTAACTGCGGAGTCATTGGAACGTTGGAACAGAACCCAGTGTTTGAGGGAAGACCTGAATTATGTGAAAGAGCCAAGTAGAAATCTGTGGGAAGAGCATTCTAGCCAGCTGAAACAGCACATAAAAACACTCAGGACATTGAAGCTAGAGAGGTGTGACATAGGGGGAGAATGGTAAGAGCTAAGATTAAAGTGGTAAAGGGGCTAGAATACGTAAGGCCTTGTAGGCTATAGAAAAACTTCGAATTTTGATTTAATGTAATTGTTTATTTAAAAATCATACTTCATATAATCAAAGGTATATATATGTATAGGGAATATTGACTAACTAAACACAAGTGTATCCTCTATCTGAAAATTACTAGTGCCTTTGGGGCCACTTTATGCCTTTCCTTAATCACATCCCCACCATTACTCAGAGAAAAAGAATCTTGAGTTTTGTAGAAACCATTTCCTTGCTTTTTTAGTTTTATTTTTTTTTTAACAGAACAGCATATTTGGCCATTAATTAAGTGCCCAGCCCTCTGGTAAGCACTTAATATACTCTGTCTCACATAATCTTTACAATCGCTTTCTGAAACATTACTATTACCATATCATAAATTTTCAGTGTGGACATCATCTGTTATTCAGAATCACAACCTTTGGGGATCTTGGTGGACGGAAAAAGACTGGAAGAAGGAAGAAATTAGAAGGGAGCCCAAAAAAGTTAAGCTGTTTCATAGTTCTGCTTTAATCTTGAGTATGTTTATAGCTTTTATGATAAATTCTTCTAATCGAAAATTCATTCTAGGGGTGGCACATGTTTTTCTTACCTTTTGTCTTTAAGTAATTGCTAAATGGTCAGTCTGGGACCGCAGAAACAACTAGTGAGGTGAGCCTTTTTATTTTTTGAAATACTTTTGAGTCCAGTTGTCACTACTAACTCTTGGAAAAGTTTATTTTATGGAGACACTGAATATTTTTGTTTGTTCATAGCCATTTCAGATTAAGATGATGTCTTTCTTTGTTTTTTATTCCTTCCTTCATGTCACAGCTGCTATTGGCATACTTTACTTCCTTTGAAAACATGCTTTATAAATTTTTTGGTTTTTTTGCTTACTTTTTGTGTTAGTGAGGGTTTGCTGGTGGTAAACTCTCAGTTTTCTTATCTGACATATTCATGAAGAAGTTTTTCACTATGTAGAATTCTTGCTTGGCAGTGTTTTTAAAACATTGATGAATTTTACTGTCTTGTACTATTGATACCATTGAAAATTCATCTGAATTTGTCTTTTTTTGGCTAGCTGCTTTTTTTAATTGTATTTTAGATGGTTTACCGAGCAAATTAGTTTCTCATAAAACAATTAATATACATATTGTTTTGTGACATTCATTGCCAACCCTACGACATGCTAACACTCTCCCCTTCTTGACTTTGGGTTCCCCATTACCACCTTTCCTGTCTCCTACCTTTTCATCCTTGCCCCTGGGTAAAACAAACAAACAAAAAAAACCCCTTGCCATCGAGTCGATTCCAACTCATAGCGACCCTATAGGACAGAGTAGAACTGCCCCATAGAGTTTCCAAGGAGCACCTGGTAGATTTGAACTGCCGACCCTTTGGTTAGCAGCCGTAGCACTTAACAGCTATGCCATCAGCTCCTGGGTTGGTGTGACCATTTAGACTTCTTTTGTTTTATGTGCCTGACTAACCTTTGGCTGAAGGGAGAGCATCAAGAGTAACCTCAGTACTGAGTTAAAAGGGAGTCTGGGGCCCATACACTCAGGGTTTCTCCTGTCTGTCAGACCAGTAAGTCTGATCTTTTTTGTGTGTGTGAGTTAGAATTTTGTTCTACATTTTTCTCCAGCTCTATCTGGAACCCTCTATTGTGATCCCTGTCAGAGCAGTCGGTGGTGGTAGCCAGGCAACATCTAGTTGTGCTGGACTCAGTCTAGTGGAGGCGGCGGTAGTTGTGGTCCATTAATCCTTTAGACTAATCTGTCCCTCTTATCTTTCGTTTTCTTCATTTTCTGTTGCTCCAGACAGGGTAAGACCAGTGGAGTATCTTACATGGCCACTCACTGCCTTTAAGACGCCAGATGCTGCTCACCAACGTAGCATGTAGAACATTTTCTGTATAAACTATGTTATGCCAGTTGAGCTAGGTGTTCCCCGAGACCATGGTCCCCAGCCATCAGCCCAGTAATTCAGTCCCTCAGGGAGTTTGGATGTGTCTGTGAAGCTTCTATACCTTGCCTTGGTCAAGTTGTACTGACTTCCCCAGTATTGTGTACTGTCTTACCCTTCACCAAAGTTACCACTTATCTATTGTCTGTTTAGTGTTCTTCCCTTCCCACCCCTTCCCTTCCCACCCTTGTAACCATCAACAATTGTTTGTTTTTGTGTGTAAACCTTTTCATGAGTTTTTATAATAGTGGTCTCATACAATATTTGTCCTTTTGTCATTGACTTATTTCGCTCAGCATAGTGCACTCCAAATTCATCCATGTGTGAGATGTTTCGCAGATTCATCATTTTTCTTTATCATTGCCTAGTGTTCCATTGTGTGTATGTACCGTAGTATGTTGGCTGTTGGTTTTATATAGATGCAGTTTTTAATGTTAAGGTTAGATTTATTCCTAGGTAGTTTATTTTCTTAAGTGCTATAATAAATGGTATTGTTTTCCTGATCTCCTTTTTGTAGTTCTGGTTTTTGTATGTTTATCTTGTATCCTGCTACTCTGCTGAATGTTTCTGTCAGCTCCACTAGTTTTCTTGTGGAGTCTTGGGTTTTCTATGTATCTTATATCATCCACAAATAGGGACAGTTTTACTTCTTCCTTACCAATTTGGATATCCTTTATTTCTTTTGTTACCTTATTGCTCTAGCTAGGACTTCCAGCACAGTGTTAAATAGGAGTGGTAATAAAGGGCAACCTTGTCTATTTCCTGTTCTCAGGGGGAATGTTTCAGCCTCTCTCCATTAAGAATGATGTTAGCTGTTGGTTTTGTGTAGAAGCCCTTTATTCTGTTGAGGAATTTCCTGTCTCTACCTATTTTATTGAGAGTTTTTATCAGGAATGAGTGTTGGACTTTGTGAAATGCCTTTTCTGTGTCAATTGACATATCATGTGATTCTTTTATTTATGTGGTGGATTACATTGATTGATTTTCTATTGTTGAACCATCCTTGCATACCTGATATGAATCCTACGTGGTCGTGGTGTATTTTTTTGATATGATGCTGAATTTTTGCATCTATATCCATGAGAGATATTGGTCTCTAATTTTCTTTTTTTATGGTGTCTTTGCCTGGTTTTGGTCTCAGGGTTATGGTGGCTTCATAGAATGAATTTGGAAGTACCTCTCCCTTTTTTATGTTCTGAAATAGTTTGAGTAGTACTGGTGTAAGTTCTTCTCTGAATGTTTGGAAGAATTCTCCAGTGAAGCCATCTGGGCCAGGACTTTTTTTTTAGTGGGAGGTTTTT